AAAAAACCCCCCCCCCCCCCCGCCCGTTCCCGCCTCCTCGCACACTTTTTTCCCTCAAAGAAGAAGAATGACTTCTTTACAAAAGAGATTAAAGAGAAAGTAGATGAACTTTGGCTTTTATATATGCGAGGAGCATTTTCCCCTAAGCAGACCGCACACAGAAAACGTACCATACGTTCTCTGTAGATCATAGCAATAGCTTATATTCACCATCACCGACCTATAGGAAATGTAACTACATAAAACTGGCCCCGCATAAATCAATAAGGAAATGCAACGCCTTGGCCCGCTAATTCACTATGTTCTGTTTAAATTCAACATCTGCATTGGAAATTTGCAGTGCAAGTCTGTCTTTGTGTGTCTGTGTGCGCGGGGCGGGGGGCTAAGAGATAAGCATTTTTTATAGTAAAATTATGCATTCTTTATGAAAGTGAAAGACACTGAATGCAACACGTCAGTTCTGGGCATTTAGGGGGTTGTTTTTTGCTTTAGTAAGAGTTTTACGGCACTTGCAACACAATAAGGTCATATAAGTGACGAAGATTATAGGTGTTATAAGAGAGTAACAAACACAAAAAAAGAAGGATGGGAGATAAAGACGATAGACGTTTGATAGGAAAGAAAAAGCAAACCACACCAGAGCACCCGCCAACCACCCCCCATCAGGGGATAGGGGTGGAAAGGGATGCGGAGGGAGAAGGAGAGATACTGGTTCATGTTTGAGTAAAGAGAAGCACATCGACCCAATATCGTCGCCTCAGAACTATTTCGTCCAAAGAGCCCTCTTTGTGTTTGTTTTAGTAAGGTTTTACGGCGCTCGCAACCGCATACGGTCATAACATGAGCGACAAGGGGTGGATGTCCACACGGGGAATCAGGCTCACTCTGCTCACCTCTCTAGCCTTAACAGCACAAAGTCTGCTTCGACTATTAGGGCACCCTGAAAAAAAAGCAGTTCAGAAGAGAGTGACAAACATACAAAACAAGTAGAGGAGAATGACGATAATAAGGATGAGGAAAGAAAAGGTAGCAGCTCCCCCCTATGTTGCTCAGCCACAGTATGAGCATGCATTGATAAATCAGCCCATTTACAATTGTACAATTCATAAGAACATGTTAATATCCCCTCTTTGGGAATGGCCCAAAGACAACTCCGGTCAGTAGCACTGCCCTGGTTTGTGTGTGTGTGGGGGTGAGGGGGGGGGGACCTCATGTTCGAATAAAGAGCAGCACATCGACACAACATCGTCACCTCAGAGCTATATTGTCCATTGAGCACTTTCTCTTTACTTAAGTGCACTTTGGACAAAGAAATAGTTCTGTATCGTTACCTCAGAGCTATATTGTCCATTGAGCACTCTCTCTTTACTTAAGTGCACTTTGGACAAAGAAATAGTTCTGTATCGTTACCTCAGAGCTATATTGTCCATTGAGCACTCTCTCTTTACTTAAGTGCACTTTGGACAAAGAAATAGTTCTGTATCGTTACCTCAGAGCTATTTATCCATAGAGCACTCTCTCTCTTTACTTAAATGCACTTTGGACAAAGAAATAGTTCTGAGATGACGGTATGTACTGGTTCAATCACACCTTAGTGGAATTCTTAGTTTTAGTAAGAGTTTTACGGCCCTTGCAACACAATAAGGTCATAGAAGTGGCCGGAGATCAGAGGTGTTACAACAAGAGAGTAACAAACACAAAAAGGGAGGGGAGATGAAGACGTTTGATAGGAAGGAAGAAGCAAACCACACCAGAGCACCCGCCAACCACTCACGTTCGTGGAATTCAGTCTACAGAACAAATGCACACGAAAAGTGATGGTCAACCAGTGAGAGAGGCGGGGAACAGGCAAAGCAACAAACAAAATATTCGCGACCTCATGAAAGACCTTGGCAACTCCTAATCAAAACCTATCGACACGGCCACTTACACAGAATATATGAATATAAGTAACACATTATAACCTTGAATGAATATTGTATATTTCACACGAGATAAATAAAATCTGACAAAAAGATGCGTGGGTTTTTTTTAACCCCCCCCCCCTGCTTTTTCCCCTGCTTTACTCGCGTTCTTTCCGCTAAAATCTTGATTTAACTGTCTTTGGCGGGGGCGGGGGGGGGGGGGTTGTTGTTTTTTAATTTGTGGGGGTTTTTTAAACCCACGCTAGGCATAATGAAAACTTCTTGAACAGACACAGTATGACAAGAAGATATGGTATAAGCTATAGCTGATCTTTTCAACACACTAATAGAGCTGGAAAATAAACCCTCGAATTTTCAATTTCAGAATCAAGTCGATCCGACTCTCTTTCTCTCTCTATTTCTCTCTCTCTCTCTCTCTCTCTCTCTCTCTCTCTCTCAAGAGAGAGAGACGGCAAAGAGTAGTTCTTTTTCACAATCAGCGGTTCACTCGACACCTGAACAATGGCCGTGTGTATGTTTGTTCAACATGA